TTAGATATTGATTCTGTCAAAGTTCGATTGATATTCAATTTGAATAAATTTGAATAAAATTCTACTCAAATTCTTAACGAGTCAAAATAAACTATTTGATATTCGATTCGAAAAGTTCACGAGCAACTCCGAAAAGATAATATATTACAAATTTATTTTTAAACAAGTTAAATTATTAATAAGTTGATTTGAAGAAAAAAACTGCAATATAAGTTTTTCATGTACATAAATTCAAGTTTGAGTTTGAATTTCAACCGAGTTAAGTTTAAAGTTTTTTTCATTTCAATCTTTTTCGAGCTTCAATTAATGATTTTAAATTTGAGTTAAACTTGAAAATTTTAGACTCAAAAATTTTCGTATTAAGTCAAACTTTATTTTAAAATTTTGATTCTAACTCCACTCAACTAATTTACAACCTAACACTACAAATGTACAGTTGAACATTGACATATGATTTATTATAACCCTCTTCAACAAAGAATTTTCAACCCTATGCAATAATGTAAGATTTGTTGGGATAATCTTTTAGCTATACCTCTATAGATTTTAAAATTTCAATTAGCCCCCTCAAAACTATTTATCGAGACTTATGTATTCCGATAACACGTCTCCCATCTTCCTTAGACAATGTAAGGTTCCAAAGATGATATTCAATTATTTTTTTACATATTTACATAATGAACCAAATTAGGGTTGAACATTTAATCCAAATTTGATGGATTTTGGTTTCATTGAGTTTTTTTTTTGAAAAGACAAGTTTATACAAATCAAATCAGGTTTTACGAAGGATAAACTCAGGTTAAATTTGAATTAAAGTTTAGGGTGAAAATATTCGACTTGACCCGATTTGAGAATAATAATATAATTGGCCTCTATGTATTTAAAAAAAATACTATAATTTATCTATATATATATTCAATTAAGTCCTTAATTTACCTAATAAAATAAGAATTATATATAAATGTGTGTGTCGGTCTAGTGTAAATGCAGGTCTTTACCATAAAAATTGTGTTAGGTTTAGGGTCGAATGGAGCTTGTCAAAAGTTGAGTTAGATCGAATGATAGATGAATAGATATTATACTAGGGTCGAATATAGGTGAGCTAAAACTCGATAAATTCCGATTAATGACCATCCTATGCTACATATTTAATATAACATATTTCAACATTTCAATTATCAAAGGTATTTCTACATGTCATAAATTAAAAAATTATTATTTTTTTAATAATTTGAAGTGATTATAATGTAATATATTTTTAAAATCTTTATTAATAATTAACAACACACATATTGTTGACGTAATTACGAGGATTTATAATCTCTAAAGAGAACAATATCCCTTTAATTATTAACCCAACTTAATGTGTTTAAACACTCATTAAATTTTAAGTTAAAATTATACAAATTCAAATGATAGATATCTAAACGTTAAGTTATGGACTCTTAATTAGTTGTAAACAATAATTAAAATAATAAAATTCAAATTTTATTCAAAATTATAATATATGAATTTAGGGAAATTTTGAAATATTTACAAATATTTGCTACTCGATTTTCGTAGATAGAACTTGAGGACACTCTTGGATGGCGTGTGAGCACGAGATTCAAGGTACTCGGGCCTACTGCCCCCACTCGTGGGGTCCTCAACCCGTGCTTGCCTGCACTGGACTTTTATGCATTTTTTAATAGAGAAAATAACCCCAATGATCAGAAATCTCAGATAATATACGATTTTGATCAATTTTTTTTGGATTTACGAAAATGACCAATAAAATCGCAATGCGATTTTTCATTTCGTGTTGCGATAGTTGAAAATCTTTCCGAATTCGTTGCGATAGTCTACAGTTGTCGTTGCGATTTTTTAAATTCGTTGTGATAGTTAAAAAAAAAAATTGTTTTTTAAGAATTTTCTCTAAAAAGATAGTATCCGCGCGGACGTGTCGAAGACACGTATTACCACGACCACCCGACCCGACCCGACCTTCGACACGCATTACCACGACCACGACCACGACCACGACCCGACCCGACCCGAGACGGACGGCGGTGGCGGCGCGCGAGAGTCCCCCTTGTTCTCTATCACTCAACAAGGAAGTGGGAAAGCCAAGCCTTAAATACCATTCTCAATAGTGTTTCCAATACTATGTGGGATTTGAGCATTACCAACACTTGTTCCCAATACTATGTGAGATTGAGCCTTAAATAGTGATATTATTTTTGAATGTTTGCTTAAAATTGCAATAATCGCGATTGATGTAGATTGACTTTTAATTATGAATATTTAATCGTATATACTAATGCAATTGGTTGCTGATTCAGTTGTTTTAAGGTGCATGATTGTTAATTGTTTCCTGAATAATCACATTGTATTGGAAACAAGTGTTGGTAATGCTCAATCCCACATTGTATTGGAAACACTATTGGGAATTGTATTTAAGGCTTGGCTTTTCCACTTCCTTGTTGAGTGATAGAGAACAAGGGGGACTCTCGCGAACCGCCGCCGCCGCCGTCTCGTTTCGTGGTGGTGGTCGTGGTCGTGGTAATACGTGTATTCGACACGTCCGCGTGGATACTATATTTTTAGAGAAAATTCTTAAGAAACAAAATCTTTTTTTCAACGAATTTGGAAAATCGTACATTATCTAGGATTTTTGGTCACTGAGGTTATTTTCTCTTTTTTATATATGTAGAGAGATGATTAATTATATCATATATCCTTAAATTATAATTTTTATTTTAAATTAATATTTAAATATTATAATCTTATAATCTTATCTTTAAGTTATGACTATTATAAATTAATCTTTAAACTTTTTAATATTATAATTTCATCTTTAAACTATGATCTAGACCCAAACTTAAAAAAATATTTCAATAATGAAATTATATTATCTTATGATGTTATGGTAATGTCATTGTTATTTTTTAATAATAAATAATCAAAAATGAAATTAAAATATAATATTATATTATTGTTATGGGATATGCGATCATTCCAAACAACAGAGTTTGGATAAATAGATAGGGTACCTCAACTGTCACCTGCAGAATATTTACACCCTCCTTATTTACTATAAGCTTTATCGAGAACTCAGAAAACTAGCAACTTAGCTCAAAGAGAGAAAATAAAAAAGTTAATTTTAACTTATGATGCTTAAGAGAACGTACATGTGCTAGTGCATAAGCCCAAGAAGAGTACATCCCTGCAAATCTTTCTCGGTACATAACAACCCTCTCTGTGGCAACAAATGGTTGGACAGATGAGCTGTTGTTCATCCCCAGAAAGGCCACATCAAAGTACATTGAATCGAAAAATATTGAACAAATCTTGCAGTCTATTTCTGAAAATTTAAAGAAGAAAAGAAGATAGAAAGATGATGTTGGCAAAGGGAAAGTAATGCAGTTTTCCAGTGCTTGAGCTCACGGCGATGGAGAAGTGGGCCTAAAGCAAAGATCTTGGGGAGGTGAATGCGTGGTTTCTTTTGAAGAAATCTATGGCTGCCCGATGATGAGGATGAAGAGTGGCCCAACTCTGAAAGTAAGATAAGCTAAGATGAAGAGTTAATATCCCACATCGATGGTTTTTGGGGGAATAAGGGATAAAGTCAGTGTATAAAAGGGGGAAGGGTTTTAGCAAATGAAATTAAAACCCATTGAGCTTGAATCGAGCTCAAAATCGAGCTTAAATCAAGTTTGAATCGAGCTTAAATCAAGTTTGAATCGAGCTTAAATCGAGTTTAAAATCGAGCTTCAGTCGAGTTTGAGTCTCGAGCTTCAATTGAGCTCTTAATATTTTTTGAATTCGAGCCTTTTCGAGTTCGAGTCAAGTTTCAATAATATATTTCGAGTTCGAGCTGAGCTTTATAATTTTTAGCTCGCTAGTTTTCGAGTCGAGTCGAGCTTGCTCATATAGTTTTCGAGTTCGAGTCGAGCTCAGCAATACTCAAACTCGACTCGGCTCGTTTACATCCCTAATTTCATCTGGGTTGAGTTACTTTTCTGGTGGTTTCTATTTCTTTTATCAAAAATAATATTATTTACTAAAATGACATATTTTTAATAAAGACGCATCATGTAAGAAAAAGTAATTTGTATATCAGTTTAATAGGATAATGTCGTTGGGATGTTATTATAATAAAATTATTATTTTAAATGTTATTTCCCATAAATTAGCCGTTTCCTTGAATAAGAAATAGTGCACAATAATCTCAAGTCAGTCGGTACATGTTGTTGGAAGCCGGTGAATGCCGATAATTTTGTTCAAAGAACTTTAAGTTCAAAAATATTTTTAAAACATAAAAGCACTTTTCATATTTAGTATTAAAAATAATCTAAAGTTATTGGGTACACGTTGTACCATAAACGAGTTTGTTAAATGCATTCTTTTCATATTTAGCATCGTTTATGATTTAAAAAATAATTTCGATCCCAAAAGTACTTTTCAATGAATAATTTATTTAAAGAGTTAGAAATGAGGAAGGATGGTTTGATTTGTTAGTCAACCGGTCCAATTCTTCCAACATTGATATATGATGCGATTTTGTTAATTTCATTTATTATTAAATATTATAAAATTATTTCTCGATTATTTATATGTTTCAAAAAAAATTCAATAAAAATTTGGAAAACATTTAAGTTAGAAGTTAATATATTGATTTAAATATACTAAAATCCAATCTTAGAACAGTTCGAGTTGTATTTTGTAGATCGATTATCTGTTTACATTATATTATCGAATTAGTACTTGAAATATTATGCCTTCGAACCAATGTTTAAAAGCAACATTGATGTCAGTAGACACCATTAAAATATAATTGTATCATATCTCAATCAACAGATTTACGTTCAACTCAGATATCATTCGACATTTTAATAAAAAATAATAAATTTAATCGAATGATCATTTCATAACTTTTAATAATTAAAAAATTTAACAAAACTACATCCTATAATCGTAAATCATTTTATAACATCACCTCGATTAATGTTCCCTGGTTAATGCCACATATGTACATTTATAACAATACAGGAGTCGGTTATTTTTATGTTATAAAAAGGTGCTTTGTCAAGTCTAGTTGCTTTCTGCATAGGGATTACAACAAGGTTTGGCCTACTGCACTGTAAGACTACTTTTAGCAGCATGCATTAATGCCAAATCGTTAAGTTGTTGATATTTGCTTTACTCTGATTTTTATATTTGAAAATCGTTTGAAATTTGAATTAGAAACTTAAGAAGAATATTCTGGATAAGAGTGCCGCTACCTACACGCTCACAATAGCTTCCCTTACTTTCATAATCTCTGGTGCAGATATTAAAGCAGTACCAGTAGATTCCCAAAGACATGTGAAAGAAGATATTTCTACATTGACAAGGATTGAAGCCTTAAATAACAACGGGGAACATTTTGTAGATAAAACACATTTGACCGATATTGCCGAAAGTTCTTCAGACTTTGAAAGAGTTCCTATACAGAAGAAAGGTGATCTGCTTCTCTAAACATGTAGAATGAGTTGTTATGCTAAATCTTATTTTTGGTTGGTATTCAATTCTTCCATCGACATGATTATAAGCTTTTGCCCGCAAGATGATGTTTGGGGCCTCTAATTGCCGATGTCAATTGTATATAGTTTCCATATCTCTTATTTTGATGTGCATTTGCGTGGTTAGATTAAACATTTTGCTGCAGCCATTTTCTTCAGTTTGCACTTGTAAGTCATTGTATTTTCGGGGGTTCCAATTTTAATTTGTTTTGATGCTACAGAAGAAGCAATAAAACACGAACACCGTCCCAAAAGAGAGAAAACTGGTGTTATTGAAAGTGGATCAAGCTTGATGCAGATAGAGGAAACAAATAACGTAATTTTAGGAGGAAAATTTTCAGAACAAGAAAAAAGGATGGAGCATCAAGGTAGAATATTGCCTATGCATGATATGAATTCTTCTTGTTTTGCACATTTCTGTCCCTGTATACGAGTTTACATTTGGAAATCGCAGTGAAGAAATTCTGTCTACAGTTTTGTTGTTATATACATTAACCTTGGGGGAGGAAATGCATTCATCAACATGATTAATAAGAATATATCTGACCAATCTTTGTTGATCGAGGTCTTTTAAGCTGATGATGGATATCTCAGCAAAGAGTTATTCACACTGTTTTAGCGTACATGAATGCAATATCAACCGTCCGTCACAACAATTTGTATTGTACGCTTCATTATTTAGTCATTTTCCTAGTCGGGTGGTTGGTGACGTGCAAGCTGCCCTCGGTTACAATGTCAGTGCTCCCTCTCTATTTGAAGCCGTAGATTTTGAACCTATTAGTTCATTATTTTGTGTTAATGACTGATTAGTAAGTGATTACCACCTCTCATTTTCTCTTTTATCTTTTTTCCAGCCTGTGATTACATATAAGGAAAATGGGTTATAGATGATAGGTGGCCGTTGTATTCCGGGCATGGTTGTAAACAGTGGATAGCAGCAATGTGGGCTTGTCGTATGATGCAGAGTCAAGACTTTGCCTTTGAGAATCTAAGATGGCAACCGAAAGATTGTGAATTGGAAGAATTTGAAGGGTCAAAGTTCTTAAAAAGGTAATAATATCCTTTTACTCATTTTTTTTCTTCATTTGTTTTGTTTGAATAATGGTTATTTCAGAGAGGGTATGCTTCTTTGGTTGGGTCAATCGAAATCTCGATCCAACCAATCTGTTGTCATCTCTAGTTAAATCATTTGAATTTAACATATTTTTCTTTATGAAATTCATATTTTTGGGCGGATTTGTGAAGGGGAAAATTGGGTCGAGAAGGAGTCAGATTTAGACTAAAAAAATCTCAAATTTGACTCGAGAAGGGATAATTACCGTAATATATATATATATATAGGAATATTTATTATAATGTTCTTATCTATATATTCCAATTATTTTTTATGTTGTCGAATTAAAATGAAAAGAATAAAATTATCTATGCCGAAATGATTTTTTTCTTAAAACGAACCAAAATCGAAACGAATAGAATATTACAAAACATCAAAATCAATTAAAATTTGATGTAATCTTTTAATTTTCAAATCAAGATGAAAAAAACTAGATAAAGAATTGTAATTATAAACATCAAAATCAAGATGAAAATGACAGTCTAATATAAGGTTAATAAAAGACGTTATCAGAAATATTTTTTAACATTTTCGGTAGAGCGTTACTTAAAATATTATTTTTTTACCGAAAATATTAATTTTGTTACCTAAAATGAATTTTTCTGATTAACATTTTCGGTAGAAAAAATAACATTTTAGATAATGATTTATCAGAAATATTAAAAAATTATTAGTATTTTCGGCAACACTTTTTCTTAACCTTATAATCTTATATTATAATGAATTTTCTTAGACATCTAGTGTATAATGCACTAATTAACCTTTTTTTCCCAGTTAAATTTGAGCCTAATTATTATTTTCAAATCTTCATTAAGATCCATGGCTGTCACCTTTGGGTTCCCACTTACTTTATTACAATAAAAGTTGTGGATAAGTCACTTCATCACGTTGTTGCAGCTACCTACCAGACTATATATATTTATGAAGAGTAAAGTACACTAGAAGTCACTAAACTATACTGTAATTATTTTGTTTTGATCATTAAACTTTCAGAAGTTATAAAATAACTATTAAATTATTAAATTGATTACAAAATAATCATTAAATTTATTAAACAATTACAAAATGATCATTAAATTTATCACAATTTTATATAATATTCAATATATTTATTAAATCCTTATGATTTATTATAACATCATAATGCCCATTTTGTAATAATTTGAGAAATTTAATAATTATTTTGTAATTTTTAAGATTCAATGACCAAAATGATCACTTTAACATAAGTCAGTGACCTCTGTTGTTATTTAACCATTTATGAAGTAATGATTATCATTAACTTTATCTGTACCACGTTTTGATGACTACTTGCATATTTTTCTTTTAGTAAAGTATACAAATGGTCATAAATTATGAATCGTTATTTTGTTGATTAATCTAACTATTAAAAGTTATAAAATAATATTTTGATTATTGTTTTGTTAAGTTATTTGGTTATTAAAAGTTATAAAATTGTCAATATACTATTCATGTGAATCAAGCTCATCATTTTATGTTAAAAAATGACAGTTATTTGAGTTGAACGTTAATCTATAATATGGGATATGATAAAATTATATTTTAAAAATACCTACTAGCACAGTTGGCTCGACGACATAATATTTCAAATACTGTCACGACGACATAATATAAATGGAGACTCGACCCATAAAATACACTTCAAATGATTTTGGATCATATTTTATCATATCTTAATTAATAGATTAACGTCCAACACAAAAGGCCACCAATTTTTAATGGAAAAAATGAGTTTGAAAATATGAATAATCAAGTGATCATTTTGTAACTTTTAATAGTAAGTAGAATTAACAAAACAACATTTTATAATCGAATGATCATTTTATAACTTTGAATAGTTTGGGGACTCAACAAAGTAGCTTCTTATAATCAAGGAGATAATTTGTGTATTTTACTTTTTTTTTCCTTTCACTTTCATATTGTTTAGGGCATCATCCAAAATTACTTTGATATAAATTTATACGATTAGTGATTTATATTGATTAACATACACATATAATTTTATATCAGGGAGGTAAACCTCTAAAATTTTAAGAAATGAATTTATAAAATTTTAAGAATCGAAAACCGATTTTTCATAAAAAATACATAGAAAAAAATTAAAATTATAAAATAATTTTAAATTTTTAGAGGGAATAATTATCCTACTGCCCTTCAATCCATCCCTGTTTATAAATAGTAGTTTCCTCAAATCCGTAAATCAGAAGCATGTATTCTAACACACGTCATCTTGCAAATAGTAAGAATAATTATGTCAATTGAGGTAAAATTCGATCGGCACAATGTATGAAATTTTAAATTCGATCATATTACAGGAAGTAAAATCATAATTTGACCTTAAAATAAAATAGTAAAAAGAGGCAGCGAAAACTAACTGACAGTTACAGTTGGAGTCTACGGGATCTCCCCCATCGTAAAATCCTTCGCTAATCCACCATCACCACAGATATGAATGAAAATAATTTTCCATCCAATAACATCCCGCCACGTACACTCATATTCTTCCTTTTCAACGCGCATAAGCCATTAATCGATTGTTTAACTTGACAAAGTTCACTGCTTTGCTGTTAATTAACAGAGAGAAACTCACAAAGTACCGCGAAACGAATCAGCTGCTAAACACCATTTGCTGCCAAAAAAACGCAGAGATCCCATCTTTGAAGTGAACCGATTTCCTCCAAATTCAGTTTCTTTTTCTGTTTTGTTTTTGTCTAATTTTGGTGTTGAGAATGGCGGAAGGCTTTGCAAAGGCGGTGGAAGAGGGGCTAAATCTAGCGAAACGGGTACACTCGGGTAAAGATAGAGAACCGATGGCGGCGCCGAAGCCACCGCAGCCTCCCATGCAGGCGATGCCCGATTGGTACTTGCCCTCGGCTCCGATGGTGTACGCGGTTATATCTGACCCGAGGATTGTTGACAACCCGGATATGCCGAGCTACCAGCCTCACGTGCACGGCAGGTGCGATCCGCCTGCTTTGATTCCTCTCCAGATGAACGGAGTCGAGCTCGAAGTTGATTGCTATGTGGATATTGCTTTTGTTCAAGTTTCGGGTCGATGGAGGGTCCATTGCGTTATGGGTAGCCGTTCTTGTGATTGTCGGATTGCAGTCCCCATGGGAAACCAGGTTTGTTCCATGATACTTGCTCACAAATGGAAATTGGTTGACTTAAAGTTAAGTTCTTTATATCAACCGATATCTGATCCATTACTCGACCAATTTAGATCGAGTATTATATACATCTTCCAATCCGGTTTGTTCTATTCACAATGCTAAGATTCCAATCCTATTAGAGATCAAATGGTAGTTGGCTTAAAATATATTGTTTTGATGTCCTTTCTAATCATCTCAACTGTTGATGGAATTATGGATGATGAAATTGGTTTAACTTGATTTTGTGTTTGAATAACTTGAACTGTGTTCATTCATAGTTTCAAAGCAATAATATTTCATTTGGCTAACAGGGTACAATTCTAGGTGTGGAGGTTGATCTTCCCGGGAAATCATATTCCACTGGACTGATCGGAGTAGAAGAAAGTAAGGTTATTCAGAAGCTAGCAAGACCACAAGATGGAGGCTTTTTGCAGCCACACATATTTACTTTAACCATACCGCAGGTGTGGCAATATCACGAAGTTATAACGCTTTAAATAAATGTAGTTTAAGTCCATTGTTGCCACTGAATGCTTTAAATCAATGTAGTTTAAGTCCATTGTTGCCACTGAATGCGTTAAATCAATGTAGTTTAAATCCATTGTTGCCAATGAATGCTTTAAATCAATGTAGTTTAAGTCCATTGTTGCCACTGAATGCTTTAAATCGATGTAGTTCAAGTCCATTGTTGCCACTGAATGCTTCAAATCAGTGTAGTTTAAGTCCATTGTTGCCAATGAATGCTTTAAATCGATGTAGTTTAAGTCCATTGTTGCCAATGAATGCTTTAAATCGATGTAGTTTGAGTCCATTGTTGCCACTGAATGCTTTTGTTTTGTGTTTCCAGGTTGATGGAGGTACTAATATCGGAATTAAGCTTTGTTGGTCTCAGAAATTGTCATACGAGGGGGAATTTTCTTTAACCGTGCCCTTTAGTTTTCCCGATTACGTTACGCCGGTTGTGAATAAGATTTCAAAAAAAGAAAAGATACAGTTGAATGTTAACTCTGGTTTTGCAGCTGGAATCTTGTGCAGGGCGTCTAGTCATCCTTTGAAGGTGTATTTTTTACTACAAATCATTGTTCTTGTGTTTTAATCTTGGTTACTTTCAATGAATGATGTTGTTTTCCTTTCTGAATCCCCGAATTTTGCAGGAAACAAAACGCCAGGCCGAGAAGTTTTCTTTCTTGTATGAAGCAGAAGTTATCACTTGGTCGAATACCGACTTCAGTTTCTCTTACAGTGTAAGCATGACCATGTCATAACCTTGCCTAAGTTTTAATTAAACTAGAGCTTCATTAGTCTTTTGTGAGAAATACCTCGATTCTCCATGATCGGGATACTTATATTTGCACGTTATCCGCATGTTCTTATAGGTCTCTTCTGGTAACATATTCGGAGCAGTCCTTTTGCAATCTCCGCCTTTATATGATCGTGACCAAAGGGATATGTTTTGTGTTTATCTATTACCTGGAAGTCAGGAGAGTAGGAAGGTTGGTCTAGCATTTGTTCAACCTTTTATGTTATTTTGATTTGGTTATTCGTTTTGGTACCGACCCTTGTTTCATTGAATCCGATAGGTGTTCAAAAAGGCGGTTGTGTTCGTTGTTGATATAAGCGACAGCATGCAAGGGAAGCCACTTGAGGCTACCAAGTCTGCAGTATCTTCTGCCCTGTCTAAACTCGGTCCGGACGATTCATTCAACATTATAGCATTCAGTGGTGAAACTTCTCTATTTTCAACAGCCATGGAGTTGGCTTCCGAGGAAGCAATTGAAAGGGCGACTACTTGGATGAGCATGAAATCTACTATGGGTGGCTGTACTAATATGTCACTTCCACTAGAGAAGGTGTGTACTCATTTCTTCGTTTTTGTTTAATCGTCTGATATGAAATTTCTCGTGTTTTTTTTTTGGTTATCTACCAGGCATACGAGATGCTATCAAACACTACCGGTTCCGTTCCTATGATTTTTCTCACCACTGATGGGGCAGTCGAAGATGAGAGAAACATTTGTGACAGGATGAAAAAGCTTTCGACAAACAAAGGATCACTGTCGCCACGCATACATACTTTCGGCATAGGTAATATTTTCATCGTTTGATCCTCCTACATTAATTGATTGCTTTAAATCCGTGTCTGGTAATATAAGCTATGCTTGCAGGTTCGTTCTGTAATCATTATTTCCTGCGCATGCTTGCCTCGATCTGCCGGGGAGATTTCGATGCCACTTGTGATCTAGGTCTGCATGTACTTCGACTTTATGTCGATATCTCAACCTAAAGAATTGTGTTAATATGATGAAACTTTGATGCATGCATTGCTGGAATTTTTACCTTCCCGATTTCTTGTCAGGTTTAATTGAGGTTCAGATGCAAAAATTATTCAGTAAAGCATTGTCTACCATTCTTGCCGATATAACCGTCAATTCATTCAATGATAATGAACAAATAGAGGTACGTTTGCAGAGTCCGTATCATCACAACTTACGAAGTATGTTCGATGTAGTAATGCATAGAGAATCAATTGAAATCACATGAATATCACAACAAACACCTTGCCGTGATTCATTCATGTTTCCATTCATGTATAGTTGTACTCTTCAAGCATTCCCGATCTTTCCTTCGAAAGACCGTTGACGGTATGCGGGAGGTACCGAGGAAGTTTTCCCAACACCCTTGAAGCAAATGGTATATTAGGAGATTTGAGTAACTTTGTCATGGGCCTGAAGGTAGTCAGGCCTAAGGACATACCTCTTGACAGAGTAAGGCACCTACTAATCAGCTGATTTGTTTTAGCTCGGTTTTTCTGTGTTAGAAGTCCGAGTCATTGCCATAACTTGCCTTGTTCCTACAGGTGTTAGCAAGACAGCAGATTGATCTACTCACTGCTCAGGCATGGTTCTCGGAGAATAAACAGCTTGAGCAAAAGGTTACAACAACTTAGATTTAATGGAATGACCGATCTCGTCATGTTTTGTATCCGTAAAAGCTGCGGTTGATATAGTTTTGTTAATGGCAGGTTGCACAATTGAGCATAGAGACCTGCAATATCTCCGAGTATGCTCGAATGGTCCTACTTGAAAAAAATAAACGAGAAAAAGCAAACGAATCTTCTGGAGAGATAAAGGTACTATATATGCTTTTGCCTCGATAACCAGCATGTGTGGTTTTCTTTTGCTTATGGAAGTTTGGGTTTCTGAATGTAGGCATCCGGATTGCTTCAAAGCCTTTCGGTCGGCTTCGGTGACGTGATCGCAACAGCCGAGAACATCCATCCAGGAGCCGAAGAACAAAAACTACCCGATGCAGCGGAAGCTTTCATGAAGGCGACTTCGGATTGCTGCGGACGGATGTGTAATCTCTGCTGTTGCATGTGCTGCATTCAGTGCTGTTCGAATATGAATAATCAGTGTGCCATTTTATTGACACAGATATTCACTGCTTTGGCATTCATCGGTTGCCTTGAATGCTGCACACTGTGCTGTTGTGGACAAAGTGGACAATAGAAAGCAGTTCTCTGAAAGGACAGCATCTTTGTATTCGTATTTGTATTCGTGTATATCGTGTATTTGTATTCGTGTATATCGTGTATTTGAATGTGTATATCGTGTATTTGTATTCGTGTATATCGTGTATTTGTATTCGTGTATATCTTTGGTATAAAGGAAAAGACATGTTTATGTATGTCTCAAATCTCTCAATGATCACGTGTTATCAAATTTGGAAATGTAGGCTACTTGCCATATTTGGCAACTTTCACGAGATCTTTCCAAATATGGCATAGAACTCGATGCATACTAAAAGAAGATTATTAAATACTATAAATAGTCAATCTTGTAAATTAAGTTGAAATTTTGGATAATTTGAACCTTTTCATGGGAGTCCTCGGGTTTGCCTTCGACATGCTTCATCACCAAGGTTTTGGCTGGTATTTATCAGGAATATGATCTTCGTGTTTGGTGACAGATGTTGATGAATCTTAATTTATTGTTCGAACTTTATTTTATTTTTTTGAGTCGAATTGAGTTATTTTACTTTCTGTTCAAATTTAATTATAATTGTTTATAATATTATTATACAAATTAGTTTAAATTTATCGAATTTTTCTAAACATATAATATCTACATAAATATTTTTTATATTCTTTTTCACATAGTAATATTATTTAACAAAAAAAAACAATTAAAAGACTAAAATAAATAAAATGCAAAGTTAAGGGATTCAATTAAAAAAAGAGTATATTTGTAGTTAAAAATAGAAATTAAAGTTACATAAGCATTTTGTAATGGTAGAGAGAAGTATATAGTTTAAATTTGATCAAAATAAACTTAAAATGAAAGAGAAGTTTGAGAAATGAAGAAATCATATAAAATTGAGGGATTAAATTAAAAAATAGAAAATTTGTTGTCATAAAGAGGAATTGAATATACACAAATATTCTATAGTGATAGATAATCACGTGGTTTAAATTCAATCATCAATTGGACTCAAAATAAAAGTGAAATTGAATAAATAAGAAAATCAGATAATAAATCACAAAACCATCAAATTATTTAATTTTAGTTAAACCCATAATTTTTTGAAAATTTTAAATTAAACCCTCAAAAGTTTTTAAAATTTTTAAATAGACCCCCAAATTGTCTTGTCAAAATTCGCTATTGTATAATACCTTACCGATAAATTGAATCTTAGTACAACCCTTAGTTATAACTTCATAAATCCTAAGATTGTTTAACTATCTTATAAGCTCTTTAATCCCTTATAAATCATCAAAAGCCCTGTAAATCTTGATTGAATCATCCTCAAAATGAGATTAAATAGCTAAAAGGACTAAATCAAATAATTAAAATTTTAGGAGGATCAAACTGAAATTATACAATTGAACAAAGGGATTTCGACCTCTTGACAGACAACTTGATTGATGAATGACCAAGCACTTAGAGACACATGTTGGTCGGAACTGCCGGTGCTGCGGTGGACCAAGAATATGAGTGGCCGGTCCGGCTCACTTGGCTAAGAGCCGATGATGGCATGGGCGTTTTCTCCACGTGATCAACAAGGACAATATCACGTGACACTGATGTTTTGTTTCCCAACACAAATCTTGACCATATCGACCTAGCGACAGATCTTTTCATTTATTTGACCTAAACAAAAATCACAGATCTTTTGTACTCGAACCTTGTTCAATAATGACCAATAGAATATTAGTTTAATCTAAATTCGAACATGTTTAAATATAATTATCTTCGATTTATTTATAAATATAAACGAACTTTAATAAATGTAAAATTTATATATTTAAATCGAGATAATTTTTTTAATAGTTTGATATGAGCATAAAATAATATATGTTCAATTTTTTTTAATTAATTGATAACATACATCATTCACATATAGCTTCACAAACTCAATATCTATGAGGAGAACAACATTTCATTTTACAATTAAAGTTACTTGATTAGATCTGAATCAAGATAAACCTAAACAATTATATATGATATTAATGTATGTATATCGATCCAACTCGGGCCCATCTATATATAAGTGTGACTTGTGACATATAATAAGGTCCTAAAATTTAAGGGCCTCACACATGAATACCATTTGGACTCGTTTATGTATAACCTTTGTGCCCTAACGACATTTTCACTCAAAGGGAAAATGAACTTTTTATTTGATTCTCGAGAAAATGATAGATAAAGTTACAAACAAAGATTTTAACAATATCTTTAATTATTTTTCATGATAAATTTTAATAAAAAAACTTCGTAGATCTCTTATCATTTTAAATTTAACAAATTAATTCTTATTATAAAATATTTTAAGTTTATTTTAAAAAGTAGTATAAGGACTACACGTCATTTTGGACGAGCATGATCCGACTCATTTAAAGCATTTATATGAAAGGCAATGTTTTGAAAACTGGACCGGTCGGTTTAACCGGGAACCGTTGCCTAGTCCGGTTCAACCGGGAACCGCTGCATAGTCCGGTTCAATCTATATCGGTTGAACCGCTACTAGTGAACCGGCCGAAACCGCTGAATCGTTCAAACCGGACCAGCTGAAAACCGGGAAAAACCAAAAAAAACCGCCAATTTTGTTTAAAAAAATTAAACCAAATGACGTCGTTTGTTAAACGAGCCAAGTCGAACTCGAGTATTGCTGAGCTCGACTTGAACTTGAAAACTTTAAAAGTAAGCTCAACTCGACTCAAACTCACGAGCTAAAAATTATCAAGTTCAACTCGAACTCGAAATATAATATTGAAACTTGAACTCGAAAAGGCTTGAACTCAAAAAAAAAATTAGAAGCTCGATTGAAACCTAAAATTTGAGCTTGATTGAAGTGAAAAAAATACTCCACTCAATGCTCACCAAAAGGCTCCATGATTTTGAATGCCAAATTACCTCTATTATTTATAGAAGTTAGTTGGGATGCTCTTTTATGTTTCTTAGCCATGTGAGATTGTTTTTAAAAAAAAATTAAACCAAACAATATCATTTTGTTACGAGTTTTTTAGCCCCAAATTTATTTTTTAATTATAGTTATATAATTATATTTAATATTTAATATTTTTTACCTTAAATATTATGTTGTAGTTAATTTGAATCATTTTGTTTCACTTGATTTTATGATTTTTAACTTATATATGTTATGACTTGCTTTGAATATGACTTGTGATATAAAAAATTATTTTTTATTAAATATTTTTAGTATTTTTATTTAATTTTTAAAATAATTATAACATCATCCGATTCTTCTGATCGATCGGATCGGTTCAATCGATTGAACCAGTGAACCAATAGTATGGCCAGTTCGCTAATCGGTCCGGTTCTGAAAACCATGATGAAAGGTGATCCGTTGTGCATGAAATCACGTATGAACGACAATTCAGGGATTTGCTTGGCAAATAAAACCTATGCACTTTTCCATGACAAACCAGACCAGACACGATATCTTCTTGTTCCAAACTCAACTTTCATTTCCCTCATCCTCTTTGTAATACGCTTATCTTTCAGATTATATACTAAACTGCGTATCGACATAGGTTTTATTAATATATATATATATATATATATATATATATATAAAGAGATTATATTATAAATTTCATCACTCAACTTTAATCATATTCTATTTTGGTCATTAAATAAAAAATTAATTTAGTATTATTTCATTTTATCAATCGAGTAATAAATAAATTAAAAACAATACGACAGACGTGGCTTGTTTATTTTGCTGAAATGGACTTCTTCTGCCAACGTGGAAGTCACCTCAATTTTTTTTTTATATTTCATTATATTCTCAACAACTTTAAAACTCTTAAAGAGTTTCATCCTCGTATCACGCCGTCATTAAAATTATCATTCTCTAGTCTCTTCTTCAACCACTCCAAACACCAAAATATTCATCTTATAGTTCTTTATCACTCTATCATTTTACATTTTCTAAAAACATATTTAAAACTCGTGAGACTTCAACCTAAAATTTAAAGAAAAACGACTTTGATCTACAATCTCTATTGTCCGACCACAGTAGAATCATGACATATTGTTCGTCACTTCTTTTTCCACCTCCATGTCATTAGGATTTAAAAGAAAACGATTTAGCATCAAAAAATCAAAAAGAAATAAAAAAGGCATGTTAAAAATTTGTGAAGGAAGATTTCAAGGATATTTTCATAAATTTAAAAAAGTTTTAAGTATTTTTTCACTTTTAAAAATGATAGATGTCTTATTATAACGATAGTTAAAAAATAATTTTAATAAGAGTAAACTCAAAGTTGAATGATGAAATTTATAGTTTATTCTCTCTTTATTACTTAAATTTATGTAAAATTAAAAAAAGTTTTATATTATATAAATGGATGATAATATATAAATATATATTCTCCAAAGCATTGGTAGAAGCAAATGTTTCCTTTAATGCATGCCATTGATCTCTGCAACGAAGAAACATGGTAGTTTGAAGACAAGGTGACAATATCAGTGTTTGGAACTTGAACCATTTAGCAACTATAGCCACTTCTTAATATATATATATAGGCAAAATTTTCGAGATAATGTTCTCGAATTTTTTATTTAACGATATAACGTACTCCCAAGATTAATTGCTCAAATAGGGTGATTGGCCGTAGGTCGCCATGCCTTACAGGCGACATGTGGCAGCTTCCCAGCATAGGTCGCCATGTCCTCCGGGCGACCTTGTAGGTCGCCATGCCCTCCGGGCGACCTTGTCCTGCGCCCTGCTCCCCGCTGCATGCTCGCTTGCTCCCCACCGCATGCAAACGACCTCTTTCGACGTGCATTACGACCTCTTCCGACGTGCATGGCGACCTCTTCCGACGTGCATGGTGCATGCAAAGCTTCATCCTCTCGCCACAGCTCGTATAGAACACTTTTGTCGTGATTTCATTGCTGCATGCATGAGGGAGACAGGGGTGAGGGAGGCAGAGCCACCTTTGTCGTGATTTCAGCAGAATCACAGAGGAGTTCGAGCCGCTTGCATGGTGACCTACAAGGTCGCACCGAGTGTATGGCGACCTATGATCTTGTTTGGCTTGCATGGCGACCAATCCATGCACTGTATAATTCACACGAACAATTATTTCTTGGACAACATTATCACGTGAATTGTTTTTTTTCACAGCAATATCTCGTGAGTTTTGCCTATATATATATATATATATAACATAATTTCCCCAATCCCAAATTTGATTTTACCATTCATTATTTCACAAAATGAAGGTGAGAACTGAGAAATTACTACCAGAATCGTTAAATTTTGTTTCCTTTAAGGTATCTTTAATGCATGTCAATCTGTTAATTTGATTCCAGATATTCAACTGGGTGCAAAACAAACTCACCAGTAAGAAATCCGACACGGTTCCGGCGAACGGTAAGTGTTAACCCTTCAACCTAATTTTCATTAAACGATGTTCAAGCAGTCGAATCGATTAATCTCAAAATCATTCATCTTCGTTCTTCTTTTAGGTCACGTCCACCAGCCTTTCAATGAAGAACTTAGGGACTGGCCTCACGGATTGCTAGCGATTGGAACTCTAGGAAGTTATACACAACATGGAGCTGACCCGAACAATGAAGCGGAAGATCGAAGGGATCGTTGCGGTGCATGCTCCGATGAGTCGAACGACAAACACGATAACGAGGTTTTAGTTCAGAGCAAAAGGAAAGACATTGGCAAAAAATCGTTATCTTTTCTTCTAAAGAAGATGTTTGTTTGCACAAGTGGATTCTCATCGTCTCCTACCTCAAGTTTAAGGGATTCGATACCAGAGCCACCAATGGAGAAGGTACTTGATAGTAATATAAAGGAATAAATAAACCTTTAGTCTCCGAAATTAGATTCTTTTTTATCAAAATTTCAGAGTAACACATCATCGAAATGACTAAAATTTTTATGTTTTGAGGTTAATCCTGACAAAAAAGTAAGGACCCAGTTGGGAAAGTTGTTAAATTGAAGGACTGACAAAAAGTCCATTGTTCTGTAAGGTTTATAAAACAAATTGACCCCTGTGGAATTGGATGATAATGAAATAAGCCCTTACGTTAAATATTATCTCATTTGAATCCTTATTTTACGAAGTAATTGAAATGTTGAATTTCAGATATTGAGGACTATTCTCCAGAAGAAGATATATCCTCAAAACCCTAGTCCGAGATTGTCTAGCAAAAAATCCTTGGAGAGCAGCAAGATCGCCAATGGAGATGAAAAGGCAGATGATGGAAGTAAATGGGTAAAAACAGATTCCGAATGTAAGTTTTTATAATACCAGAGATAAATTATGAATCGTTTAATTGGACCAATGTAAAATTTTATATTAGATTACCAACTGGGAAAATTATATTAGAAATTTAAAACTACAAAATTAGATCATCAATTGAAAATATTAAGAAAATAGATAAATATATAAAAATTTGAAATTTTGACACAATGACATCCTAACTCTTCTCAATCCATCCCTGATTTGTTTATTAATATTTGACTTCAATTCGTTGTTTTCATTGCAGATATTGTTTTGGAAATATAAATCTTGTATTGCTTCAAACTCAGTGACAGAGCCGCTCTATCAGTGGGAGGCGACCTATCCCCCACCCCAACTTTTCATTTTTGTCTTTAATTTGTATAATGGATTTGAAAAATTTATGAATTGGTTGTGAATTATTCGATTTGAAATTCTAACTCCGTTCTTGTTATAATTAGGCAAAATTCGAGATAGATTGATGAAGTTTAGAGTATTAAGTGTCGCAGCTGAACTTTGTTTCCATGCAAACAAGTTAATCTCATAGGTTTATGGACGTAACATTGGTTGATAATAGATAGCTTTGTGCTGGAGTTTTTCTGATGTTTTTATTTGTAGACATCTATCAGTAATGCGATGATCGCATTCATTCATGTATGTACGTAAGTACGTACGTACGTGAGTAAATGGTACGGGTTTGTGTATTAAATATGCCATTGCATATGAGTGCATGTTATAAGAACCTAAGAGAAACGACATAATCCAATTGGTTTTTGTTGCATAATATAATATTATGAAAAATTAAGGGTAAATTGTAAATTTCATCACTCAAATTTCTTTTTCTATTTTGATTGTTAAAGTATAATTTTTCTTAATTGACTCATCAAACTTTCGATTTGTTTCTATTATGGTCACTTTACCATTAAGAATTAAACGACATTATAATTGGATATTTTTCTTTTAAAAATTATGAAATAACCCCAAAATTTTCTTCATTTTTTGATGAAAAACCTCCCGTCTCAAATTTTCTTTAGTTTATTAATGATAAAATATATTCTTCAAAATTTCAACAGTGGATAGGTGGAGAATAAGGAAGCGAGCTATATATCTTGATTCCACACTAACCGAGTGATGGATATAATATGTATCATAGTGGTTTGGAATTTTATGCTTTTGGGGTTTATGGTTGAAATTTAAAGTGATTTAGATAAAACCTAATATGATAGAGTGAAAGAAGACAATGAGACGAGTCCATTGGTATCTTGAGTGGTTGAAGAAAATGTCAGAGAATGATAATTGCATCGTCAACGTGACACATAAATAAAATTATAAAACTTTCGTTTTTTGAAAAGAATATAAAAAAAAGGAAAATGATGTTGATAGTACATGAATTATATGTTAATAAAAACAATCCACATCAACACATACATATGTGGCTATTATGTCGCTCTTTCATTTATGATTTAACACTAGAATGATTAAAATAGGAGTAAGAAGAAAATTAAGTGATTAAATTTATAATTTATCCAATAACTAAATTAGAGTATATTGAATAAGTCTATAACTTTTATCTAATGCATGGACTGATTAAAAGATTTAATCATTATAAAAACCAATGATTAAGTTAACCTGAAAGTCCAAAACCAATAATTCAAGCAATTAATAATCATAATCAATAAACACCCAATTTTTCTTTTTCTAAAGAAAAATAAATAATCATTGATATATTATTTTATTTAGCACCCCAAAGTCAAAATGAGCCGATTTTAACTTTGTTTTCACTGTCCCTAAGTTTAAATAATTCATAAAATAAGTAATTAAATTAAATATTATTAGAGAAAAAAATGGTGAATGATTGATCCACTAAAGCTTCATGCTTTAAACCTATACATGACTCTCCTTCCCTCTCTCTTTCCTCATAAAAGCTCCCTCTAATTTGGTCAATAAATCTAGGGTTTTTATAGCTTTGCTGGTGATCTCTTCTGGGTGTAGTCTTATTGGGAGATAAATTTTGAAAAAAAGATTTGATTTGTTTCCTTTTGTTTTTCATTTTTGGGTGATTTTAAAACTTTGGGGTTTTGAAGCCAATGCCATTTTTTTAGAATTGGGGATTCAAAAGTATTCAAAGAAGACTGACTTTCAATGTCTTGGGCTGGCCCTGATGATATATTTCTCTCCACTTCTCTTGCCACCTACCTTGACAGTAATTTCTCTTGTTCTTCCTCTGTTTTGCGTGTAGCAAATTAGCCAATGCAATTGGAATTCCTTTTTCGTTTGCAATCTTTCGAATTCTCTTGTTTTCTGGGGGGATTTCCTCCAGTTTTGCTTTGATTTGGGTTCTTTTTGATTTCTTGAATTATACTGTTTGATTCAGTTGATTCCTGTTTGTATATTATGTTGGGTTCTTTCCTTTTGTCAAGTTATATGTTCTTCAGTGGCCAATTTGTTTGTTATTAGCTTGGAACATAGGCAAAATTAGATTAAAAGATGCATTTTTAAATCTATATAGGATTCTTGATTGGTTTTGTTAGAACAGAGTTTGAGGTTGTGCAAGAGACTCACTTTTATGTTTAAAGTTCCAAGCTTTCATCCTTGATATCATGAAATTTCGTAACCAAAACATCGAACTAAAGTTACAATCTTGGTACTTGGCTGAAAATTTCATGACGCCTTGTACAATCCGGAGTTTGTGTTGAATAGATTTGTGCAGTTGAATCATGATGATCTCTTGCTAATGGTGTCTCCAAGAGAGTGTTTATTAGCACAAACTATGCATCTAGTCTTGTTGCATATGGTGTCTCCTGCATTCTCATTGTGTGCTAGATGTTATCCTGTTCTGTCGTAATGCTAAATTGTCGTAGATTTAGGTCTTTAACGATTGTTAAAAGCACTTTTATTTGTTTTGCAGAGAAACTCATTGTTTTGCTGAGAGATGGCCGGAAGCTCCTGGGATTGCTACGTTCTTTTGATCAATTTGGTATTTTGTCCCGATCTTGTTCCTTGCTTGAGTTCGTTTCTTCCTACTTTGTCTCTTTTGTTCTGAATTATAACCGTTGACACGATGTTGTCCCGCATTCACAGCTAATGTTGTTCTAGAAGGAGCTTGTGAGCGAGTTATTGTTGGCAATTTGTACTGTGATATCCCCTTAGGTCTCTATGTAATCCGTGGGGAGAATGTTGTCTTAATAGGAGAGATGGTATGCTGTTATGCCAAATCCTTTTTCTTTAACCTTTTTCTTTTATATGAATGCGGAATCGATTTGTTTGATGATATGTTGTTTCTTCTTATGAAATGATGCTTGCTACGCAGGACTCGGAAAAGGAGGAGCTTCCACCACATATGACTGCAGTGTCGGCTGCCGAGATAAAAAGGGTAAAGGACTTATCATAACTCTTATTTCATCGCGTGTTTATGCACATGTCTCCCATATCTATATGACTGAGTCTGAACCTATCTAGATTTGGCAAAGAAAGATGTACTGATTTGCTATTCCAAGGATTAATAAAAGAATTAGAGGAAAATGCACATAGCTCCCTCCCTGTACCACTAACTGAGGCTTGATTGATTTCCTTTATAACTCGTCCCTTTATCCTTTTCCAGGCTCAGAAAGCAGAAAGGGAAGCAACAGATCTGAAGGGCTCTATGAGAAAAAGAATGGAGTTCCTTGATTTCGATTAATAGATCCACCTGTTTGTTGGAGTTTCATGCTACGTTCGCAAATATTAGTGCAATTATGACCCAAAATTTGAGACGAGGGTGGGATAGCATGAAAAATTCTCACATTATCTCTGTTATTGGAGGAAGAAGCCAAAAAAAGGGAGTAGAAGTTCTCGAGCATTCTGAAGACCTTAATATATCTGCTAAAAGCTCGGGGCGAGGAAGTTCATTTTATGTGTCTTAAGAGGCAAGTAAGATAGTTTCCTCTATGTGCACTATGAGTTTTAGGGTTTTAGAAATTTCTGCTTATACCCGATGTTGACTTTACGCCCCTTATTTTCTCTCTACTTCCTTTCTAGGTTCTTACATTTCATTTGAGTAGAAAACTGTTCAAAATTGCTGTGGCTTGTTGCTTTCGTGCCGCATTTTGTTATGGCACAATCACAAGTTTTGTTTCATGTTCGTTTGATGCACAAGTTATGTTTTGTGATTTTGTTGCAGATGTGATTTTGTTCCTTAATAATCCACTTTCTGCAACAAAACTAATCTCTTATAGGTTCATTTATTCATCAAAATATCCGAGCCTTGATTGATCCCGAATGCATTTTTGAGTAAGAAATTACCTGTTCAAAGGTGCTTAGAGAAGCCAAAATAGAGCCACCAATCCATACACTATACTTACTATCTGGTGGTGTAACCACCCTAACTCTCTTCCCCGGAGGAGCCGACGAGGTCGCCGCATTGACTAATCTATCAGCCAAAGCGGACATTAAAGTAGTAAGCACCACATTCCTGAACATCTCCCTTCTAACATCCATGTCACACTCCTCCAGATTGACCTCACCGAAATCTCATGGAGACCACCCCATTCCATTCCCACCCTGCTCGATCAAACAGAATTTAGGGGCATATAAACCTGCTAGCTCCGAACTTTTCCTCGATATGTCGAGTTCCTTATTGATGTCTGTTGCTACATATGAAAATCATTATTTTATGTCTCGAAGATTTCTCATTCTGACGATGACGTGAACACGTAGCCCTCTTGAGCTAAGAACTTGGTGAGGTAGTCAGTTAGGTCCTTGCCGGCTAGGTCAAGCCATCCATCAACTCGATTAATTAAAAAAATACTTTTTTTACTCGATTCAATTGAATACTTAATATATTATATATATAATATTTAACAACTTATTTCAACTTCAGCATGCAAGGCTGATCAGGGTTAATTAACCTCTTGAATCTTACTAATAGCATCGTTCAAGCTTAATCGTTGATCAGGATTACTTTTTGTGCAAGCAACTCCGATTTGGATGATTTTGATAATCTGATCAATTGAAGCCGGACCGCTTGATAATATATCGGGATCAATCAACTCTTCGCCATGGTTCTCTGATATCGATGATTGTGCCCATTGCACGACGTCGATTCCACCGTTGCCATCATTCAAATATTGCGAAGGGTACTTACCAGTCATAGTCTCGAGGATGACAATGCCGAGACAATAAACGTCGGATTTGGGAGAGGCACATTGTTGGTTTTGGAGACATTCCGGGGAACGGTAAGCGAACAATCCTCGGACGATGTTGTCGGAGTTTACGAACGGGTGGAAGCCGTAATCGCTTAGTAGTGGATTATAGGTTTCGGTCAGAAGAACATTGCTGGATTTGAGGTTTCCATGGGGAACAACGTAGGTTGCTAACTGTGTGTGGATGTAACCAAGTCCATCAACGATTCCTTTGATGATCTTCAAACGGTTTTGCCAGTTTAATCTTCCATGGAACAATCCTCGGTCCCCTGCATGAAAAAGGGGTTAATTGCACTTGATGTCCTCAAACCATTTGCACAAATTTTAAGTTACTTCTCAAATTTTAAAACTTTCGGTTAAATTATCATTTTGTCGTGCTATACTTTAATTTAAAATGTAATGTCTATATTTTAATCCGGTAGAATTTAATCATCCATTGTTATAATATCATCAGTAGGGGTGAGCATTTGACTCGAACTAGATGTGTTTTTCATGTCATTTTTTGTTGTTGTTGAAAATTCGGGTTTAGATTGGATTTTTTTTCAAAGATAAGATCAGATTAAGTTTTATTTTAAGAGTGAAAAATACTCGACCTGACCCGAGAATAATAATGTATGTAATTGACGTTTATATATTTAGAGATAAATGTTATAATATTTTTCTCTTTATTTTTTTCAACTAAATCCTTAGTTTAACTAATAAAAATAATAACTATATATATTTGTGTCGGATCAGATCATAATCTTCAACTAAATAGCCATTTAAATCCGAGGCTATGTATATTTAAGACACATGATCAAATTTTAAATATATATATATATATATATTGTTCGAAGGGCTTTGAATCTATTATGTACAAACATTTTTAAATTTTGATATACTTATTTTAACATACTATATATTAAATCGGAATCATAATTTTAAAACGTTAAATGTAATTAACTTGAAAAATGAAAAATAAATGACTTGAAATTAAGCGAAGATGAAGATGAACGTACCGTGTAAGGCGTATGATAAGCTACCGCAAGACATATGTTCCGAAATAATAAGCTTCTCTTCTTTTCTAAAATGGAATGCTAATGGCGTTAAAACATTTGGGTGCTTGAATTCCCCGAATCGTTTTATTTCAACTTTGAATCTATCTTTCTCCAACTTATTCATCTCCTTCATCCTCTTCACCACCACGGCCAATCCATTCTCGAGCACAGCCTTATATGCTAAGCCCAACTTGCCGTTTCCGAGCACTTCCGCATCCGCCTTCATCAAATCTTCAAGCCCAAAGGCACCTTTTTCCTCGTTCACCATTTTTAAATCATCCATCTTATTCTTGTTTCTTTTCTGTGACGACCCTCTTTTAATCTTTAAGCTCAGACTATTTGAACTACTTTTTCTATTCGACTTTATTGACGTCTGTCGAATCGAGCCGGACACAACGTGGACATTCCTTAAAGTTTCCCTAGAATTACTCAGGTTCCTCAAATCATCATCTTTTTCCTTCATGGTCGAAGCAATGCCGGCGACCACCAAAAAAAACACGACGACAAGAGTCACGGAGATGACGATTAAGGTGGGGATGGTAGGCGAAGTTGATTTATCTGAAAGTGGATGGTGAGCGCAGCGTTTCTTAAGTTGCTCCCCGCAAAGCCTAACGTTCCCTTCGAATGTGGAAGCGTTGAACTTGGACATACTTTCCGGGATGTTCCCTCCGAGTTGATTACCCTTTAAATCAAGTGATTTAATAACTTCAGGATATTTCAGCTCCGGGATTTTCCCGGAAAATTGATTCCCTTCTAAATGCAATTCCACGAGGTGGGATAGTCGCATCAATGAGCTTGGGATATTCCCGGAGAACTTGTTTTCATTCAGCCATACCTTCTTCAATTTTCCCATCGATCCGAAGTATGTATCCGGTATCTCGCCGGAAAACTGATTGTTTGATAAGTAAATAGCCTTTAAACCCTCGAGTTTATTGAACTCGGGGATCGGCCCGGTGAAGGCGTTCTTCACCAGACGGATGGTTCTCAAGCTACGAAGCTGAGATAAAGCTTCGATATCGATCGAACCAAAGAGGCCAAGATTCGTCAAATGGAGACCGATGATGGTTTCACCTTCGCACATGACGCCAACCCACTTTCTCCGACAAGGTGACGAGTTTGGGATCCAATTCTTCAACTTCGAATCGCCGTTCTTCAGCGATTTCTTGAACTTGAGGAGGGGTACGGCAGCTGGTTGAGAGAAACAAAGGATGGGGAGAAGAGAAAGAGTGAGAAGAACCAAAACAAAGGAACTAACAGAGGCGGCTGCAGCGGACATTGGTGGAACCGGAGGAAGAAATGACAGAAGAAAATTCCGATTCAAATGATTATTGCTGCTGCAGCTCGTGGTAATGGCGATGGCGATGGATCGTGTGGTTTTGTGCTGAGGGTTTGTTCCGTTTTGTTGGCTATGCCGGTTGCGTTGAGTGGAGGGGTCGAAATGCTGCGGTGTCGATGGTTGCGTTGGATGCTAATAATAGCGATTCCGGTGGTGGTTACAACTGCGATGTCTGGTTTTTAGCTATTAATGGCAGTGTCGTCTTTAAGTATATAACGAGAGTTCCCTTATATTTCGGACAAGGTTACTACAAGCGAACGTATCTAACAAAGGATTAATTGCATCGGAAGTCATCATTTCTTAATTTGATTCCATTAAAATAACTATTTAATTTAAGCCATTTGAAGCATTTTTTTTAGTTTTGGTCCTACAAAATTTTTCTAGTTTTATCTCGGTCCCTTATATGCTAAGTTTCGGCTTCATCCTTGGTTAATTTACAATTTAAATTGTGTCGAGTTTAGTTTAGAGTTTGAGTAATTCTGGTTCAAATATTTTTTGTATGGTTAAAAGGTATTTAGGAAGATTAAATTAAAGTTTTATTTGTTTTCGTGTAAATAATTTTTTAAAAGTATTTTTTAATGTTTGGTTGATATAATTCATTTTCTAACAAACGTAATTCTCCTTGTATTTGTGACAAAGTATTTTATGATTTAATTTTTGATAAAATATTATTATTTTCATCTCAAAGCATAAATACCCAAAATATTTCCATTGACTACATTTCCCTCGGCAACAACAATAACTCATGTGAATATGTATTTTTTTGTTCATCTTCTGTGTTCAATCGAGTTTCTTTTCCTTCTGTTTTTTCTTGTTCTAACCATAATCTATCCAAATCACTTCATTTTCCCATTCATTCTCTATATTTTTTGTGACTCTTCAATTTTTTCTTTTAATTTGAATGTAAACACGTGAAATCTTTGATATTTTTCTTTCATATATTCGGGTCTAAGTGAATGCAACTGAATGCAACTTTTTTATTTTGTGACGCATTAACTTACATATCTGTAAATGAATATTTTCTCAAAATTGAAATATTGAGATAACTTTCGTCGTTGTAAATAAATATTTCCTTAAGAGAAAAGTTTGAGATTCAAAAGAATTTATATGAGTATAAATAATTTAATAATATTTTTATAATATATAATATTAACTAAATTATTGTAACATTTTGAAAAACAATAACAATAAGTTTTTTTATAATAAACAATATCATTTATTATACTTAATATCTACAACAATAATTTTTGAAAAAATTATCAAATAGAGGAAATTAATTTATACAAAGTCATTCAATCATCGACAAATTATTTTTGAATTTCTTTTTCTGAAATGTATAATTTATTCTCCATAAATCATTTGATCGAAAATATTTTTCAATTATTAAATAAACTCTAAATTCGTAAGTTTGTAACGTTTCAATGTCCATGATCAACAACATGAGCCATCAAGTTCTCAATTGAGCCTTCATCACTATATACAGCTTGGAAGCAAAATCCCACCAGTGCTAGCATAACAAGTTGACCATGTTTTAATCTCTTCGGTCCTCAATACCATCACTGGCTACAACAACCCGGTCCCCATTTAAAAGGATTCAATCATATAGTCTGTCAGTCAGGGTTGGTTAATGTCTTGAATATTATTAATAATGTCGTTCAAGTTTAATCGTTGATCAACGTTACTTTTAGTGTAAACAACTTCGATTTGAATGGTTTTGATCATCTGATTGATCGAAGTTAGACCACTTGACAGTACCTCAGGATCAATTAGTTCTTCGCCATGATTCTATGATATCGGCAGATATCAAACCGTTCGTCTCATTCTTATTCTCTTTTTATGACTGACGCGGCTGTCTTTCGGTTGGGCCCGAAATTAGGCTTCGACTTGGATTAAACGAATTGGAGTCGCCACCGATCATTTATTTTAAAACAAATGGGTTGATCAGTCGCCACTTACCTTTGATTGATTTAAACGAAGACCCTTAAAAGGCAGAAATGTTAGAAAAAAATAATAATAAAAACAAATTAACTTAAAATAATAAATAAAAAATGAATAAAATAATGAAAATGATAAAATAATAAATTTAAAGGAAATAAAGAAAAATAATAATAATAATAAAAAATAAAAAATAAAAATATATATATAAATAAAAAAAACCAAAAAAAACAAATGAGAGGACTAAATTGAAAGAATAATAAGTTGTCTGTCAAATTTCAGAGCAAAATCGAAAAATATATTCGATTTAGAGGGCAAATGGATTCGTCTAAAATGTCGAGGGACCAGAAGGGGATTACCCTTTTTTATTCAAAAACACGCGAATCCCCTAGGGATCCGCTCGGGTCGGGTCATTGCTGTGGGTTAATATATAACCAAAAAAAAATCAAACCTTCTTCATTTGTAGCAAAACCCTAAAAAAACAAAAATCTTCTCTCAAAATGCTCTCATCCTCTCCCCAACCCGACGAGAACCCGACCACCACTCCGGTGGCCAACGCCGCACCGACCACCGCCGGCCAACGCCGGCCACCTGAACCAACCAAAATGTTCCTCTCAAGCCCGTGAACCCAAATACGACTTCTAAACGCTCAAAAAGTGTCCCCACCGACGTAGATCTACCCTTAAAGCTTCGGCTTTTACCTTCGACGGTGTGTCTTTTCGGCTTCCCGGAGGCTCTTCGGTCTCTTTGTGATTCTATTGTGTTCGACTGTGTTGTTTTTTTTTTGCGTTTGTGTTTTCGTATTTTCAGTGTAGTGGCTCGATCTTGTGGTTGGTTTCGACTGTTGATGCGTGTTGTTGGTACTGTTTTCTCGTGGGTTATGTTTTTGTGATGGTTGTGGTTTTTTTTGTGTATGGGTTTTCTGTGGCTCGATGATGATGGTTGTTGTTACGTTTTTGGTTCAATGTCGTGTGGGTGGTTCTCCACTCGATGATTATGTGTGTACTCTCGTTGATTCTCGGTTCTGTGTTGGTCGATGTCGTTGGCCCCCCTCTTGGTGATGGGTGGTGGGGTATTTATACCCACCACCGGTGCACGTTTGTTCTGATTAACACGGTAACAAAACCCATCGTTGACCAAGGATTTCGAGACGGGTCAGTCCCGATTCCCTTGGCCGGAAATCTCGACCGAACCCCTTGGCCGTCTGTTTCGCATGACTCTTGACCTCCTTGACCCTACGACGCTGTGGAACCTTACTGGAAAACCCTAGGGCACTTGGGCTGGTTCAGGCCCATTAGACCATGCTGGACCCGAACATACTTTGGACTCTTGCCCATTTTGAACATATGGACCCTGGACAAAATGAAAAGTAAATAAATAATAAAATAAAAAATAATAATAATGATAATAAATACTAATAATAATATAACATATACTATATAATATATATGTTTTAAAAATATTTTTTAAAATTTTATATTATTTTTCAAAAATATTTCCAAAACTATATATTATATAGTTTTCAAAAATGATTTTAAAAATATTATATGTGTTTTCAAAAATGTTTTTAAAGTTATATATTATATAATTTTTCAAAAACATTTTTTTAAAACTATATATTATATAAGTTTTTAAAAATGTTTTAAAAACTATATATTATATATTTTTCAAAATGTTTTTCGAAAACTATATATTATATATTCATTTTCAAAATGTTTTAAAAACTATATAATATATATATATTTCCAAAAACCGTTTTCAAAACTATATATTATATATATTTTAAAAATGTTTTCAAAAACTATATAATATATACATTTTCGAAAACCGTTTTATGAAAATTATATATTATATCTTTTCAAAAGCATTTTCAAAAAATTATGCTACATTACTATATATATATATATATATATATAATATGATATGATAAAATAAATAATATGAAAGAAAGAAAAAAACAAAACAAATTCAGACGAAAATAAGTGTCTACAACGACGATCCTTGTTTAATCTTTAAGCTCAAATTATTCGAACAACTCTTCCATTCGACTCTATTGATTTTTGTCGAGTTGAGTCGGACACGACGTGTACATTTCTCAAAGTTTTCCTAGACTTGCTTAGGATCTTCAAATCGTTGTCCATCTCCTCCGTCGTTGAAGCAATATTGATAATTACGAAAAAGAACACGACGAAAAATGTTACGTAGGTTATAATTATATTGGCAATGGAAGGCGAAGTCGGTTTATTTGAAAGGGGAGGGGGGCGCAAAGTTTCTTAAGTTGTTCCCCACAAAGCCTAACATTCCCTTCGAATGTCGAAGCGTTGAACTTGGACATACTTTCCGAGATTTTCCCTTCGAGTTGATTACCCTTTTAATCAAGTGATTTAAGCACATCCGGGTATTTCAGCTCCAGGATTTTGCCGGAAAACTGATTCCCTTCTAAATGCAATTCCACTAGGTTGGATAGTTGCATCAATGAGCTTGGGATGTTCCCGGTAAACTTGTTTTGATTCAGCCACACCTTCCCTCAATTTTCCCATCGATCCGAAATACGTATCCGATATCTCACCGGAGAATTGATTGTTCGATAAGTAAATAGCCCTTAAACCCCTGAGTTTATTGAACTCGGGGATCGGTCCGGTGAAGGCGTTCTTCACCAGACGGATGGTTCTCAAGCTACGAAGCTGAGACAAAGCTTCGACATCGATAGAACCCGAGAGACCGAGATTCTTCAAATGGAGACTGATGATGGTTTCACCTTCGCACATGACGCCAACCCATTTTCTCCGACAAGGTGACTAGTTTGGGATCCAATTCTTCAACTTCGAATCGCTGTTCTCCAATGATTTTTTGAACTTGAGGAGGAGGGGAATTGCGTCGGGTTGAGAAAAACAAAGGGTCGGGAAAAGAAAAAGAGTGAGAACCAAAACAAGGGAACTAACAACAGTGGCAGACATTGGTGTATCCGGAGGGAGAAACGACGAAAGAAAGCTCCTCCTCCGATT